GCCCGATCTGACGGAAGCCTGGAAGTGAGTGCGCGAGGTGGTTATAAAAGGCTCCTACCCCCCAGGAACGAGGTATGCTAACTTTTGCGCTATCTGGTCTAYCTTGCCTTTGAAAGACTCTAACTTGAGCTTCGGAGCCCTTACGCCGGGTTCTCCCCGGAGCTTCTCTTCTCCTTCCGTTTTAGGTCCCTGTCACTCAGTTCAGAGGCAAGATCGTTGACAACTAAGATTGGGATTGTGCATCATCATATATATATATATATATATATATATATATATATAGAGAGAGAGAGAGAGAGAGAGAGAGAGAGAGAGAGAGAGAGAGAGAGTATAAATAATCTAATAGTACATATATAATCGAGGTAGGGACCTCAATCCCCACCCCCAACGTCGATTGGGGATTCCTATTAATCCTTGTCCTCGCCCTTGCCTCACCCAAACAATCCCTATCCTTGGTCCCATCGGGTCAGGGAAGTCAGGTCCTCATCGGGGATGGGAAAAATTGCCATCCCTAAAGGTGTGTTCTAGTAAATGACCTTGATAGAAACACATAAGAGTATAAAATTGTTTTATATTTTTATTTTTTAAATAATTAATAATTATTCATAGTTTATATACTACTTTTAATAAATTTTTTATAATACAAAAATAACAATAATTAATTTCAGTTACGTTTATTCATCAAACTGATGAAACCGACCAATCCGATTAACTCGACCCGGGTTGGTCGGTTTTCTAGTATTTTAGGTTAGCTTTGGTTCGAAAATTTCTTAATTCGACTAAGTTGGATCAGTTTCACTTTGGCCATTTGTAAATCGATCAAAATCGAACGACCTAACCATGGATATATATAAATATTTTATATTCTAAATATAATTTTTAATATGAAAAAGTGGGAAATTTCCCATATTTCTTAGTCTAAAATGTTTTATATCATAATTCTAATTTTTAAATTTATTTTTTAATAATTGCACTGTATTTCTTAAAATTAAATTTAGTTTTTAAGTTTAAATATTTTGAACTGACTGACCAAACAAAAAAATCGACCCAAACCGAACAACTTGAGTGAGTCGGTTTTCACAAAAGGTTAGTTGGATTCATCTGACCAACTCCCTAACCTGACCTGGTCAATTTGGTTGGCCAAATAGCCTAAGACCGAACTAAACCAACTCATGAACACACATAATTTCAGCTAAATTAATAGTCTCATCTCTCATAAATAACAACCGTTTAATCTCCAATAATTATTGAAAATTTATAGCGAAAATACACATTTATTGAAAATATATTGATAATGAAAAATACAATAATTACAGAAATTACAAAAATACAATAGATACAAAAAATATATTAACTTAGTCAATAAATAGTATAATCTCAAATAATAGTTTAATACCTACTAAATATTAATCAATAACTTATAACAAAAATACAATAAATACAATAAATTAAATTTAAAAATTTTAATAATAGTAAATTTAATCTCCAATAATTATTGAAAGTTTTCTGTTAAATAACAAAACAAAATAAATTTATACATAATAATTGAAAATACATTTATCACAAAAAACAATATATAATTACTGAAATACAATAAATATTAATTTTAGTATATATAATTATATAATAAATACAGGTTAAGAGTTCAAAATTATTATTAATAAACATTAATTTTTTTGAAAGTTATTTTCTCGAATTATTACTTGATACAATATTATGTAAAAATATTAACTTATTATTAATTTCAATCTTATGTTATAATTATTTTTCTACTTTTTATATATTTTTTTAAAATTTATTACATAATTTCTTTATTTTAACTATTTAAAATCTAGTTATGTCAAATATTTAGTTATTTAAATACTTAAATAATATGTAAAATATTTAAATTTTAAAATATTAATTATTTATTGAATTTAATTATCCATATAATCATAATTTATACTATTATTACATAATTTTATTATTAATGTTGTAATATATTAAATTATTATTAATTTCAATATTATGTTATAATTATTTTTCTACTTTGATGAAAATTTTAAATTTATTATATAATTTCATTATTTTAACTATTTAAAAGCTAGTTATGATAAATATTTAGTTATTTAAATATTTAAATAATCTATAAAATATTTAATTTTTTTTTGTTATTTGAATTTAATTTATTTAAAGCTATTACATATTATTAAATATTTGAAAAAAATTTAAATTGATAATCCAGAAAAACATACTTTAAATTATTAGTACATAATTTCGTGATATATTTTGTAAAAATATAAAATTATTTTTTGTGTATTTAATAAATATTTTAAAGTTATTATATAATTTTGTTAGAATGTTTAAATAATTATTAAATTTTTTAATCCAAACTTTCTTTAAATAGATATTGATAAAATGTAGGGGAGAGGATAAATATGGATTAGAGGTAATTTAGGAGAGAAACTCTACTAAATTAGAAATAATTTTGGAGATAAATAGGAATTAGAGATAATTTTAGAGAAAGTGGAGGATAGTGGAGAAGGTAGTTTTGGAGAAATTTTAGGAAAATAGGTTTTTGGGAAAGTGCATCTCATTAACTGTTTTAAAAATGACAATTAAAAAAATAAAAAATTCAAAAAAGAAAAAAATTTAATAATTATAAGCACCAAGTACTGCCAGAACTGCACGTTCATAATAATTTTTGATAATCCAAAAAAATGAATTGTAGACGCGGCAATGTTGGTTGGTTGCTGGTTTGTGGTTTGGGATTAATTAATCGATCACTCCGATTTCATGAATGTTTTTATTAGTTTTTTGGGGGGGCAAGCCAAGTCAAGAGTCTGGTCCATTCTCCACACCTCTATGGACCATGGCCAGCCATGGCTGATGGAACCTTAACTTATTAGGCGTTGGGGCGTGTTCATTGGTTCACAATTAATTGCAGTTCGAAGACAAGTGCCTGCAAAGGTAATCAAATATACTTTAGGCTCAGTTTGTGGAATGAGTACAAAGCGATACAAATATGTAGAGTGCAAATATTTTATAGTTTTGTATATATTTATACTGTGCATATTTATATTTATATTTCTTCTAAAACAAGCCTTAATTTATTGTGCAATGTGGGTAACCATGCACAGCAAAATGATGCCTTTTTGGTGGTTTAGACCTCGACCTCTCAGTTGATATTGTTTGCTTACATTATATGTTAAAGAATGGAACACACAAATACGCATGCAATGGTTGTAGCAACTAGCGGTCAGGGGACGGTTTGGTTTGGTTTCATGGAAGAATCTGAAATTTATCCTATAGGGGCCGGTTTTAAGTTTTTGGAACCGGAATTTATCTTGTGAAGGTTGGTTCCAAGGATGATTTTGGCATTGGCAGTTCTAGGGTTGGTTCTAAGGTCTACCCGTGAAACCTCTTCTATTATGTTTGTGCCTTGAATTCTTTGTGGCAACCCGCTTTATGAATCTACGTGCTCCGAATTAATTTGAGAAAAACCCGAAGGCAAAATTTCATAGTGGTTTGTGGTGGATGCGTAAGGCCCGTAGCCCACCACAAATCACCATTGGGGGTGCAGGGGCATAGCCCCCGCGGTGGTATGGACCCGACCCATATTCATCTTATAGGTCTGAATCGAATATGAAGAATCATGTATTTTAGGGGTTTTTTTTCTCTTGTATTCAGAAGTTTGAGTCTTGTGAGAGATGAGTGAGACATTGGGTGTATTTGGGGTTTAGGGTTTTCTGTGAGAGAACAACTCTGTATTTCTTCTCTATTACCTACTATATAATGGATTTCTGTTCTTCTTTTGTCCGTAGACGTAGGCTATAAGTTGAACCACGTAAATCTGTATGTTCTCTGTGCTTGCTTTCTCTTTATCTCTGTTTTATTTTCATTTGAGTGCCATTTTGAATTTATTTTCTTGGGTTTTTCTACAACATGTTCTTTTTGCACTCTCTCCCTTCAAGAAAGAAAAAAATGAAACATATTATTCAAAAACTTGATTTTCAATAATGATAATATACACTTGTACAGTTTAAAACTTATATTATCTTCATTGATTAAATTGAGTAATTTAATATGTAGGTTATCAAAATATATTAATATATGGTTGAAATTTGTCATTATGATTTAAATTTTGTAAATATTATCTTTACATTATTTATTTTACATCTATAAATGTTAAAATGAAAATAAATGATCAAATCACTTAAATAACGTGATAGTCAAGTGAAATCATGACTTTTATAACCATAAGTGTTTGAGTTCAATTTTTCACATCCTTAAAAATATTTTGAGGTTTATTTCATCACAAATTCAATTTCAAAACAGTTCAAAGCCAATCAAGACTATTTCATCATGTTGATTCGGGTAAGATAAATCCCTAAATCCAAGAACCGATCTCGATGGGAATCAGTTATAAAAATTTAAAATCAAACCCTACCTTATAACAAATCAAATAGGGTCGATTAAAAACCAGTTCCAGTTCGAGGTCGGTTCGATTCAGTTCTACCAATTTGAAACGACCTTGGCTTACTGGTCGTTTTGGCCTAGGCACGTAGATTCTATTTGTGGTTGTGGCCTGTGGGGCTTCTCGCTCTCGTTCTCGCGGGGATGCAGCGTTTGACTAACGACCATGCAAGACCAGATCCATCAATCTGTAACACTTGTCATCCTCCACTTCTAACCTACTAATGTTCCGCCACGTCTCTCACATTTTCGTGACTCTCCTCTCCCAATGTTATCTTCCTTCTCTTCTCCTCCTGTACTTCCCCCCTTATTTCTCTCCTCTCCTGCAATACCCATTTTTTTTCTTTTTGATTTGGTCAGACTGTCTCTGCAATACAGTCCCCTTGCTTCAATCCCTGTTTCTGTTTCTTCTTCTTCAGTTCTTCTGCAACTGCAAAACTCTTGTTGGTTTCAACTTCTCTTTTCATATCAACAAATCTCATCACCCTCTTTTTTTTTTATTTAATTGCGTTTAATTTCTCCCACCCTCCGTATAAGACAATGTCAGGGGGAGTTGGGCCAACATGCGGCGACATAAGCCTTCCCAAAGAAGAAGAAGAACATCACTTGGATGTTACCGCCGGAAAACCACAGAAAAAGAGCGCCCACCGAGGATTTCTGAGGTTCAGACAGCTCAACGCACTCGCTGTCATCATCATCTTCTCTGCTAGCGGAATGGTAAGCGTCCAAGACTTCGGTTTCTCACTTTTCTGTCTCTTGTACGTATTTTTCCTCTCCAAATTCGCATTCCCTTCGCTGAGTCCCTCCGCCGAACCCCCTGTCTTTGGCGAAAAGAATAAGCTTCTGTTTCTCTACTCCTTTCTCGGAGCATTAATTGGGCTCTTCCTCCCAATTGCCTACATCTTTGAAGGGATCCTTGAAGACGACAAGAAAGGCATCAAAGCATCCGCTCCCCACGTTTTCCTGCTATCTTGCCAAGTTTTCATGGAAGGATTGACGTCCTCCGGCGGATTCTCCGTCCCAATTCAGGTGTTTGTGCCGGTGTTCTATAACACCAGGAGGATATTTACGATTGTGGACTGGTTGAGGAGTGAGATTGCCAAGGTAGACCAGGAGGAGAGTGGGTCTACGAGGAGAATGTACGTGGGAAATGGACTCGCGGTTGCTAATCTGGCGTTCTGGTGCTTCAATCTGTTTGGCTTTGTGGTGCCTGTTTATCTCCCCAGAGCTTTTAAGGCCTATTATGGGTACAAGGTGAAGGCTTGAGGAAGCTCTTTTGTTGTTGATGCTAGTGCTTACGTACAGAAGAAACCAGATCAAAATTTGTTTCTTGGGTTCATCTTCATTTATCTCTTTCCTTCTTCCCGATTTGTTGAAATTAAAGTTGTGATTTATTCTGTAATTGGTTGCTTCTTAGGCTAATAAGAAGGAAAGGTTTGTTCTTCTTCTTGTGTGGTGGTGTATTTTTTCAAAGTTAGGCGCAGGATGTTAGATAAGCAAATGCATAACTTCTATGCTCATAATCCCTTTTCATTTAAACAAGTGAATTAATTCTGTTACTGTACGTATGGATTTAAACAAAGAATTCCATCAGTGATGAATCCATCTTGATGCGTGTCTCCCTTCTGGCCTGTTAACCAAAGAAAGAAAAGAAGAATTAATGGGGATAGAGAATACATTTCAAGGGTGGAGGACCCCTCCTCATCGCTCAAACATCTCAACCAACATTAATTGTTGTTTTCAAATTAATTTCCCCTTCACTCCTTAAACTGACCCATTAGAGAGAAATTCATGGATACTTGTGTAACTACTCGCTCTACACAAAGAAACTACCTCAATCTCTACTAAAAAAGCAACCAACCCCACAGACTAGGCTCAGTTTGGAAGTACAACAACAAATATGTACAGTACGTGCAAAACCTTGTATTTTGTATTATTTGTACGTATTCTTTCCAAACTGAGCCTGAAGAAATTTCGGGTTAACCCTGTGTATTGATGTACACTTGCGTAACTACATATGTTAAGAAATTAACTTGGAGAGAGAGAATAAGAGAAAGGAATTCTATGGTATGTACCTCTTATATCTTATATGTATATAGCTAGCGATAAAGAAGTGCTTTGGCATTGTATTGTGCAACTCTTCTTTGTTCTACCCTCGGTTGCGAGTGCTTTTAGCTTATTCGATAAATTAGGGTTTATTCTAATAAGCGCTTACGTTTATGAGTCCTTGGAATATTTGTTTCTGCACTTAGGGATGCAAATATATCTTATCGGATCTGACAAATATGGATCTGAATTTGAATTTGAGTTCGATGAAGAAGTCGAATTTTTTGGATCTGATCCAATCTGATTTGATTTTTAAAAAATTATTAAAAAAAATAAAATATGACAATTTAAATAAAAAACAAAAATTACAAGTATCTTTCCACTATTTTTATCATATATATATATACATGTTTTTTATTAAAAATAAATAATATAACAAATTTACAAAAATACAATATAAATAATATATTTATAAATAAATAAATAACATATATATATGTGTGTGTTTTATCTATATAAATAAATAAATAAATAAATAAATAACATAAATGTCGGGTCGGATCTTCTTGGATCGGATAGGGGGTGATTTGAATTTGATTCGATTTGATTTACGATTCGATCCAATTATCCGATTTGATCCAAAGATCCAAAATGGGGCTATCCGAATCTGAGAATATAGATCAAACTTTGGATCTGATGAAGGGTGATTTGGCGCGACCTAGCAGGAAGGGGACACGTAAGCGTGATCTGGTTGAAGGATGATAACTCAGTCAGGCAAGCTCGGTTCGCAACATTCGTAGTTCGGGTACCCAGCCACCTCGTCTTCAAAACTCACCTCGGCATAGAGGCACCTCGGGCATCTAGTTCGAAATTAAAGAATCGAAGTATCAGCTCGGGGCTAACAACCCGAATCGCCACGTAACTGACTCCAAAGGTCTCTCCAACAGATCCCGAATCTCTCGGGACCACAATGAGCTAATAGACCCCGACTTTTTCGAGATCACGATAAAGACTCATCCCGGAGATCCCTGGAGCAGAACTAACTCTATCGGAAGTAAAACGATAAGCCTTATCTACGAGGTGTTCCTCCAAAAGCGGAACTAACTCTATCTCCACACTCCGGAGATCCCGGAGCTCTTTCGTGAGACCCACGACTACTCTAGTATATAAAGATGGGAACCTCAAGGCAAAGGTACGCGTGATTACTCTACTTTCTAGCTCTCAAGCTCTCAAACTCTTAAGCATTCAGCTCGCATTACAGTATACTAACTTAAGCATCGGAACGACCTCGCCGGGTTAGCCACCCCGGGTTCTCTGATCCACTGTCTTGCAGATAGATCCAACTCGCTGTTCGATTGGAAGCCAGATCGCCTTCTAGCTGGGAGTAGTCAGATCGCGCAACAATAATTGGTGTCGTCTATGGGAAATGATCGAAAGGTCATACCCATTCTTTGTAGTTACCAACCTTGATTTCTATGTCAATGGCATCTTCCAGTCATACTGAGAAAAGCAGCGAGATGAACGTCTCTGTGGGAAATGCATCGGCTAGTTCACCATCCCGCTTACTGCGTCTGGGGTTCCAACACTGACCGCACCACCAAACACCACACAGGTGAGCACCCCACTTCCCCCAGTGGTAGGCGCAACTTTTTCTGAGCCTTCTATGGTTCCCCCTAGAGTTGGACAGTCCCAGTTCAACGACTTGGTTCAGTGCGTCCGGGCTATCCAGATCTAGATGCAGCAGGTCCAGCGGTTTCAATAGTACCAGCAACATTATTTCTACCAGCGGTATCAACATCAGTTCCCTCCTTTGCCGTAGAACCAACAGCTGGTTCCACCTCGGCATGCAGGGGCCCATCAGAATCAGAACTGGCCTAGGACTAACCAGAACATCAGTCGATCTCCCCATCGGGGTGAAGAGACCTCGCAAGTCCCGATTCCTCTCAGGAGTCAGGTCTCGCCCCGTGGGAGAAGAGACGATCAGTTTACTCCCCCGGCCTCGCAAGGGAACCTCGGAAACAGGTCTAGGGATACTTAGCCTAACAGGATCAATCTTCCTCGGCATTAACAACAAGAAAATGATGGTTCACTAGCAGGTAACCAGTTCGGGGCTCGAGGTGCGAACTCGAGACAGGGCCTCTCCATCTATGATAGCTAGCCCCATAATCCTACAAGGAACCAGGAGTTACCTCGTGACAGAGCGGTACCAGAGCACACCAAAGTCAGCAGCACTAACGCCGAGCCAGTAAAGAAACAACAACGGAGACGTCGCAAGGCACGCCGTACCTCGGCTTAGAACAACCAGCTAGCAAAGCCAAGCCAACAAGAAGGGCAAGCCAAAGGTAAGGAAGAAGCGAGCTTGGTGGCTACAAAGGCCGCTCCTCTACTACTTTGCAGGTCGTTTCCCCTATCTGCCGAGCTCTTGGCGACTCCAATGCCTAAAGATTTCAAGATGCCTCCCTTAGACAAGTACAATGGGTCCTTCGATCCTAATGACCATGTTAACTCTTTCCATTCCCAGATGCACCTAGCTAGGGCTGAAGAGTCATGCATGTGTGCAGCCTTCTCTACTACCTTTAAAGGGGTAGTTCGGACCTGGTATCGGAACCTCGCGCCGGGATCGATCAAAAGCTTGTCACAGTTTGTAGACTTATTTACCTCGCATTTCATCACTATCAAGAGGTGCCCGAAGTCATAGGAAAACCTTCTCAACGTAGTTCAGAGAGAAGGAGAATCGATCAGAAGCTATATTAAGCGCTTCAACGACACCTGCCTACAGATACCAGACCTCGACCAGATGGTAAGACTCATTGTAGCAAAGAAAGGAATAACCCACAAGGAGTTTAAATGTCATGTGGTGGCCAACAAACCAAAGGACATCACTGAATTCCTTAAGCTAGCCGATCAGTTCATCGGTATTGAAGAGGAAATCAATTAGAAGGTCGACAACCCACCAAGAAAAGAGGAAAAGAGACAATGAAGAAACAAGTAATGGTAGACAAAAAAGAAGGAAGGGCAAGTCCCTGAACAGGGGAAGAAACAAATCTAGAAGCCGGTCTCCCTCGCAAACTCGCAAATTAGGTCAGCGCTCTAGAACCCCACCTGTCGAAAGAACGAACTACACGCCATTGAACGCTAAGCGAGGAGAAATCCTAATGGCCATTAAGGACTCCTCCTTTGTCAAATGGCCTCCCAGGTTAAGGGGAGATCCTGCAACAAGGAACCGAAACGTTTACTGTCATTTCCATAGAGACCACATGCACAACACAGAGAATTGCAGGAACCTCCGTGACGAGATCGTGGAGCTTATCTGCCGCGGATACCTAAAGAATTTCATACAACGAGAAGAGAGAGGCCAAGTAGATCGGCAAACAGATCTATAGGGGGACCAGAGAAGGAATGCCCCCGAGACCAACAGGTATAATGAGCAACGCCGCGACAGTTGCCCGAGGAAAGATCGATCCGTGGGGTAATTAACATGATTACCAGCGGGTTCATCATCGCAGAGTGCACATCAGCAGCCGGAAGGACCTCAGTTCGCGAGCTAAAAAATGAAGAGGAAAACTTGTCGAAGCGACCTCCGCTTGAAGAACCAATATACTTCACAGAGAGCGATGCACACGGGATCCAGTACCCTCATGACGATGCCCTAGTGGTAAAAATGAGAATCAACGACTTCGAAGTGAAGCGCATCCTGGTGGACTCAGGTAGCTCGGTGGATATATTATTCAAGGAGACTTTTGACGAGCTACAGCTACAGCAAAGCGACCTAAAACCGACAGACGCTCCTCTTGTAGGCTTCAGCGGCGAGGAGGTTAGACCTCTCGGATGAGTCACGATACCCGTAGAGGCTGGCATGTGGCCAAATATCGCAAGGTTTGAGCACACATTCCTGGTGGTCGCGACTCCCTCTCCCTACAACGCCATAGTAGGTCGACCCATTACGCACATCCTACGTGCAATAGTATCCACCTACGTAGCTGCTCTCAAAGGGAAAGCGAAGCTAGCGGATGATGTCGAGCTCGAGCGACCAGCAGAACATGTCGACGAGCGAGCTGCCCCAACAGAGGAGATGGTCCACATCTCGGTCTCAGCTGATGACCCGACCAAGACTCTCCAGATCGGTGCCTTGATAAACGAACCACTCCGCTCCCAACCAGAAAGTTTCTTACTCAAAAACTTGGATATTTTTGCTTGGTCCGCGACAGAAATGCCTAGAA